TTAAAGAACATGTAGTTAGAATGGGTCTTGGTTATAATAATTGATGCATTGACACTCTGAGCTCAATAATTTATGTTTCTGATATATATAAATTTTTTATTTCTTGTATTGATGTATACATAATTGACAAAGAAAATAGAATAGTCTTTTAAGACATAATCATGGACCATTATGTTTATACCACTTATAGACCGAGTATGATGAACGACTATTTGTAGTGTTGCATGGAAGGAAATATGTTACATAAACAACATACAACTGCCATGACTCACATTTAGTAGTTTGTTATGCTAAGGTGATTATGATGGGCATAAAGAAAGGTTTCATTGTTAGTTGCATGCTTGATGTTATATCATTAACCACTTATGTTGGTTTATCATATGAGCCAAGTGGGAGACTATTGAAAGTGGCTCATCAGTTGTCCACTAATTTGAATTTAATTCAAATGTTGGGAGTTACTAATTGTTTTAAATTTGTCGGTTACAAGCACAATAATTTTTTATCAGTTACATGTGCAAATAAATTTGACTGTTACATGTGGTTATTGAATAATGAATCCTAGTAATTGGATGGATACTTGATGGACGTATCAGATTAATTGTTATTCTCCATATATAAATTGATCCTCCCTCTACACATAAGAGTTAACATTTTATTTTCCCCATCAATTGTACCATTATATGTAAAAGGGTTAAGAAAGGAGAAATCAGTTTTTATCTCAAAAGATTATTATCATGGCTTCAGGATCAGGTATGTTTTCTCACAATAATTGTTTAATTATTTTGTTTGTGAAAATCATGAAATTGTAAGATCTATGTTTATTTGATTATTTATGTTTACAATCTTCAAGAAATTACTTACATCTCATTAATATACTTATTAATGCAATTTAATTATTTTTTAATTAAAACAAGAAAATAATAATTTTCCTTCAAATAAGATATTTATAAAAATTATCTAAAAGTCAAATATTTATACTTTTACTCCAAAACACTAAAAAAAGCATATTCTATTGTTGCCTATTAAAATAATTAAGATTGATTATAAATGATCTAGACTTTGTTTATCTCATAATACAAATTTCAAAACATTTGACTACAATAAAATTTGTTTTAAGTAAACACTGAAGACTATCTATTATTTTCACTTTTTAAATGACTAGTTTTAATAACAAGTAAACTTTTTTAGTATTTTAACTAAAATATAATTATTTCTAAAGTTGATAAATCAATATTTCAACATCTCTTATTGATTTAATCAAGTTTAAATTATTTCATACATATTTATTTTGTTTTTCACTAATTATTTAGCTACTTTATCACTTCAAAAGTACAATTATCATACATTTTCTTTAATTAAAAATCAACTAAATGTGTAACCTTGCTTAAGATAGTATAATTGTAACCAAATGGATTTGGCCGGTTGTGCGCCGATCTGGCCTTTTCCGACCAGATCCATGGCTAAAGATCTGGCCATTGACGGCTAGATCTGGCTGTTGATGACGGCCAGATTTTTTGTCCTCGTTTAGTTGGCAATGGCCAAATCTTTGACCATAGATCTGGTTGTTTTCGGCTAGATCCATGGTAGATCTGGCCGGAAACAGACAAATCGGCGCATGACCGGCCAGATCCAGCTGGTCATGCGTCGTTACAGGAGCGACGACTATTGGCATGTGATAGTGGCTTGGGTGGATAGGGGTGTTTTTGTTAATTTTAAAACTTTTATTGAGAAATATAATTGTTAAATATTCTGAGTTAAATAGAATAGAATTGGATTTTGAGTTGAATAGAAAAGTAATTATTTCATTTTCTAAGAATAAGATAGTAGAATAGTATATGGAAAAATAGTGTGTCAAACGCACCCTAAGTCATCCAACGCATCATATCTTTTTTCAAGAGGATGCTAAAAGTTTTATTCTATATCTCAAATTGGTCTTTATTATAATTACCAAAAGATAAAGCCTAAATTTTTTTTAAAAAGTTTCATTCTTTTCAATGAATGAGAAGCCAATTTACTTGGGACTACAAAGGAAAGGACAACCTTTGCTTTCAATTGAAGTCACAAAACTAGCAAAAATATCACGCATGGCTTCGTTTGGCTCACATTTGGGACTACTATTATTAGTATTCCCAATAAAATTAAACAGTAAAATTGCAAAAACTCACAATATTGTTCAATATTATTCAACTTTTTTTAAACCCCCTAAATTTATTAATTTAATTAAATACCCCTAAATATTTTTTTAGAAATTGCAAAAAAACCCCAGTAACCCACATTTACCAGATTTCGGCCACCACCGCTAGAAGATGGTCGGAATCTGGTATAATGGTACACTACCGACTGAATCTGGCTGGTAGTGTGCCGATCTAGCCTTTTTCGGCCAGATCCATGATAGATCTGGCCAGATCTGGCCAGATCTACAACCAAAGATTTGGCAATCAACGGCTAGATCTTTGGCCGTAGACAGTCGTTAATGACAGCCAAGATATGGTCGTCGTTGACCATCAATGACGGCTGTATCGTTGGCTGCCGTTGACGACCAGAAAAGGCCATATCGACGCAAGACCAACAATATCGAGTCGGTCATACGTCGATACGGCAACTCCGGCCACTCTCCGGCGGTGGTGGCCGGCTGTCCTTATTGATGAGTGGATTGGGGTTGTTTTGTTAATTTTGAATATTATATTTGGGGCTGTTTAGTAAATAAATAAATATATGGGGTACTTATGTTAATTTTTAAAATTTTACATCGTAATACCCACCCAATTTAACTTTTTTCAAAAGATTATTCTAAAAACTACCCAATAATGAACCAAACGGAGCCATCACGCATGGAATTCGACCATTCTAAACTATCATATAAAAAAATCTTAAATCAACATCGCTTAGGGCTAGTTTGGAATTTGTGTAACTTTAAGTTTAATCAATTTTTGCCGAACTTTAGAAATAATCAGCTTTCAAAATAATATGTAATGTTTTTGGTAAATGTTACTTTTATAATTGCTGTGATTTTCATAATTTATGATTATATGTTTGGTAAATTAGATGTTGAAATTGTTGTTCTATGTATAATGACCAAGAAAAACATTTTATTTCTTAAAATATTTTTATAATTCAAAATTTGTATTTTGATAAGTATTTAAAAATGTGTTAAAAGAATTGATATTAAATAAATTATTAATTAATAATTCAAAAGAAAAACAAAATATTGGATCTATTTTAAAACTGTGTATAAAATAATTTATTAATGAATTAAATTTTTATTTAAGTTTATTTTGTAATTTGAAGTATATTTGTCAAGTTACAATGTAAAATCAGTTTTAGAAATGATCTGAATTTTAAAGCTACTCATCCTAACTTTTAGAATTCTTATATAAAACTATTTATTTCATAATCAGCTTCAAATGTAATCTATTGTAAAAATTGTTTATCAAACACTTTTGTTGTTATAAGTTAAAAAATAATTGATTGTTTCTTAAGTTACAACAATCTCAAACACACTCTAAATGTAGTTATTTTGAAAAGAAAATAAATATCAATAGCGTTAATAATTTATAGCTCACGCAGTAATTCAAATCCATGAATCTATGCATACACCCTAACCTTGATTGTCTAGTTGATTAAGTCAAATTGTTTGGCTTTGTGATCTATGTTGTTGGTAATGTAGTATGATTAATTTCATAATTCACAGTTAGTGATTGGACCTTAATTACAACTGCTTCTAGTTTCCAAATAAGAAATAATAAATATTTGATTCATGAAATTGTGTCAACATTTTGTGTTACAATAGCCTAACCCATATATAATATATGAAAAAATTATTAAATATGTATGACTAAATTATTTTTTTTAAGACTATGACTTAAATTTTTCTATATAAAATTTAAATTTTAAGTTAAGACCTCGTCATAATAATCTCATTAATATACTTATTAATGCAATTTGATTATTTTTTAATTAAAACAAGAAAATAATAATTTTCCCTCGAATAAGATATTTATAAAAAATTATCTAAAAGTCAAATATTTATACTTTTACTCCAAAATACTAAAAAAACATATTCTATTGTTGTCTATTAAAGTTTTTCCTTTCTAAATGTTTTTTAAAATATCATATGTAGGATAGTTACAGCTAATTTTTAATGTATATTATATTTAATAAATAATTAACATATGAATTAGAATATAAAATTTCAGTTAAAATGTCTTATTAGCATGAAAACAGTAAATGAAAATTTTGATCTCAGGCCTAAGCTTTGATCCAATTTTGTTCTTGGACTTATAAATTCAAATAAACAATAAGAACTGACATTATATAGAATTCAAATTCCATACTAATATAGAAATAAATAAAAAATAATTAAGCATCACATCTCGAATTTGCCAATAAAATCCAGCATATCACTAATGTTTTTGACCTTCAATCAATCAAGGCCCAAAATCAGCCCAACCCAATTTTATCAAGCCTCACCTCAATAATAAATCTCAACCGTTGAATGATATCATCCACGTGGCAAATCAAACGGTTGATTCAACCTTCACTAACCCCAAACCACGTGTGTCCCTACACATTTGAATTCAAAATGTTGAAGCCCTAAAACAAAAAAGTAACGTTAGGATTCCGTAGCCTCAGCTTCGGAGCCGAACCTGAAACGGAACCAAAAGACAATACACAAACAAAACATAAGAATAAGAATAAACCATCTTCCGCTCAGTCTCTCTTGTCTCATTTCAACTGAAAACGAAAGATTCAAAAACAAGAAAGGTACTTTGCCTTCCTTTCTTGAATCCTTTTAGCTTTGTGGGTCTTGAAGGGTTTTGGGTTTTATCCACTCAGTTAAAAGGAAGACACCCAGAAGGAGAACCAATACTTTTCTTGACATTTTACTCTGTTTCTTTCTGATATGTAAATGCAATGCATTTGAATGATTTGCGTATTTTGCTTTTTTTTTGTAATGACAAGTTGATTTTATTTTTATTTTTTCTTTTGTTAAGGAACAAGAGGATTGGATTTCGATGGAGAGTAGTTCAAGAACTGGGTTGCATGACTTCAATTTGGCTTCAAGAAAAGCTGAAGAAGCAGGTTGGTCTTTCTGGTTTTTTTTTTTTTTTTAATAATCTTGAATTTTGTGTTTAGTGTTGTTTATTAGGTCCCTGATAATGTACAAGAAAAGGACTAATTAACATTTCAGTTTTTTTATTACTATTTATATTGGTGTTTGTATACATCTTTTCAGCAATGAAGCAGTGAATGATCATTGATTTTCGGTTGTTTTTGCAGCTTGGAGGCGGTTTCAAGCAGTTGCGTGGCTAGAAAGCTTAGTCGGGCCTCTTGGTATATCAAGGCAGCCGTCAGAGAGAGAGTTTGTTTCTTGCTTGAGAAATGGTCTCATTCTGTGCAATGCCATTAACAGGATCAATCCAGGCGCTATAGTGAAGGTGCATTATTCACTGTCTTATGTTTACGTATTATTTCCTTTTTTTTTTCTTTTTTTTTTTTCTTGAGAATCTTGAGGAAAGGGGAAGTAAATAAATAAAGTGGGTTTTTTTTTTTTTCTATGTTGATATGATCAAACCCCTAACTAGGATAAGTTTTGTGTCTTAATTCCTTACCATTTTGTTACATTTACTCAAAAGTGTGAAAATTTTGAGTTATATGTTTTTTTTAGAATTAGGGCACAAAATAATAACATTCATCTATACTGAGGTAGCTGAATGTTTTTTTATTAGGCTAAGATTAATGAAGGGTTTTGGCAATCAAAATAAAATGTGAAAAGAGTTTCCATTTTCCTTGCCGTTTTTGAGCAAATGCAGTATACAGGTATTGGTTTTTACTGCTATTAATTGGTTTGCTTTTGGAATATATTACAAGGTTGTGGAGAACAGTTCATATATACCATCATTCAGCCGGGAATCTCAACCACTGCCGGCCTATCAGTACTTTGAGAATGTAAGGAACTTTTTGGTGGCAGTCGAAGAGTTGAAGCTGCCAGCTTTTGAAGCTTCTGATCTTGAAAGGGTAATTCAATTTCAAATGTATATATGTATTTGGAGATGAACATGTTCTTATTAGTTTGCATGTAAGTACTGATAACGACTAAGTGAAATGATTGGTTTTGCCTTATTAAGGATACTTTGGATGTGGGGTCAGCAGTGAAGGTTGTAGATTGCATATTAGCCCTGAAATCATATCATGAATGGAAACAAATGAACTGTGGAAATAGTTTTAATAAGCATGCTAGGTCTCCAATGGTTATGCATTCTGCCGGTAGGTCTTCACGAGCCTCAGCAGCAATCACTCCAGACTCTTGTAGGTGCTTGGACATGTCTGCAGCTTGTGAGAAACAACTAGCTATGAATGGTGGCAATCAGAAACTTGAAGGTTGCTCTCTCTTCCAACTGTACATAACCAAAAGTATATGCTGTATGGCTATTAATATGTCACAAAAATACACTTCTACTTATACTTAATTGCCATACAAATTTTATAAGCCTGATACGAAGATAGTGTAATTTAAAAGATTTGTATAGCCTCAGCATATACTAATAAATGATTGTTAAAAGTCCTTGCTGGTGTATTACCTACCAAATATGACATGGTCACTGTTGAAACTATGGTATAGGTATTATTGCTCTTTGCTAATTAATAGATACAACTTTATGTAATATTTTATACACGGTTTTAGTAGCAATATCATTTACTTTAATGAGACGTTAATGTGTACGTAGCATTTATTGTCATAGGTTGTCCCATAATTATATTTAATTTGTTTTGACTTATAGCTTATTCTATGTGATGCATGGATCTTGCAGATTCTATTGTCAAGGTACTTGCTGAATTTATGGTTGGTGCGAAGGAAAACATTAACGAGAATCTTTTATCTTCCTTTCGTAGAGGAAGTCAGGTAATAATCTTTTTTTTTTTTTTTTTTTTTAAGAAGTCAATTTTTTTGTTATAAATGAATATAGGATTGGAGAGATAGATTTGAAGAAGATAATTGTCTTTTCATTTTTTTCATTTCTATCTTTTCTGATACAGGATTCATTCAAGTTATTTAGCACAATCCTTTCAAGTTGTTCTGAAGAACTTCAAACTAAGTTCCCTGAGGTGAGTCTAGTTTTCACTCAACAATAACTTGAATTTTCTGATTGCCTTAGCCATACTGCTGAAAGTTGAATTAAGGTGCCTGGAACTTTCAGACTTTTGTGCGTATGCTTGCCTATTTTATATCATAGCCTCCCTTGGGAGCCCATGCAAAGAGTCAAAGACCTTAGACAGGGCAGTGCCTAGGCTGCCTGATTGTTGATCTTCTTACCTAAGAATCTAAATAAGAGAAAATTACTTTGATATTCTTAAGGAGCTCTGCTTTCTTCTTAGTCGGAGGGATCTAAGAGTTAGTCGGAGGGATCTAAGAGTTCTCTCTTTATTTATTACCCTACAACTATTGGTGTATTATGCCATGATTTGATAAGAATTTTGATTCATTTATTTAACTTGAAATATTAGGATACAGTGCCTTATTTGACAAACCTTTTCTTTTTCTTTTATGCTGATGCTTTAGCTTCATAAAGCTCTATTTAACAGTATTTATTCCTGCTCAAAAACAGCTTAAATCAGTATTTGAAGAATGTTTGAAAGAAAGTATAAGTAGCTCACATGCCCCTCTAACACCTTCATCTCCAAAGGATTTGTCTACACTAGGAAATTCTCAGGTAATTCTTTTAAATCGTGACCGATACAGCTTTACAAATGTGTGCCCGTAAAGTAATAGGTTAAAGTTTGTAAAGCAAAAAGATGGTTAACCTGCCTTATTTCAACTCATAATGTCTTTCTTTTTACTATATAGTTATACTATAACTTCCTCTTAATATTTTCTGTTACTTAAGATTGATAGATTTACATCCAGAGAATATCCATCTTCATTTTTGTTAATGTTTTTCTGTTTTCCTGACATGATTTCACTAAGCTTTTACTGAATTTGACATCATCACTATTGATACCAGTGCCCCATCTGAACCATTTATGAGCTCACAACATGGATCTTGTCTAAGATGAATTTGGAACCTTTTCTTTATTAACATGCAGAGATACCTTAGTCTTTTCATCATACTGTTTCTTTTATTTTATTCTTCATATGATTTTGTCTGGAAAATACAAAAGCTTTACAGCATTCAAAATCGCCAATGTTGATGAAACCCACCCCCACCTTCAAACCCCATACCACCACACCCACACCCCCCCACAAAAAAAAAAAATTGTATGAACTATTAACATACCTGTTTCTCAGATGAATTTGGAGCCGTTTCTTTCTTAAACAATATTAATGGCACTAAAAAAATTTTATAAAGTAATTCTTCCATTCACAAGAGATAGTTTACTGAACACACATGACATAATATGAAAATATTTTACAGAGTCACAGAGCTTGCATGAGAACAGGTAACCGCAACCACAGGCAGTTACTGAAAATGCAAGAAAAAGAACTTCTGGTAAGTAGATTTGTTCCAACACCTCAACCTTCTTTATTAGGATTTTAATATGGACTGTACTTCTTGTTTTGAACTGTTGCAATCTAGCACAATTTTCATGGATTTCCACTTTCATACAAAATTTTGGCCTGGAGATAATGAAGTTTACATATACTGTAAACTCCTCCCTGGGAATGCTTCCATTCTGCTTTTCTTGGTAGTACATTTTATCATATCCAGTTGCTTTTACTTTATGACTGTTGAGAAATTTGATTTACTTCTATAAGAGAGCACTTTTGTTATCATACCTTGTTCAGGAATGATTGAATAAACTTCTTTTTTTCGTTTTTAGTTTGTAACCATATTACAGCCTTTTTTACTTTGTTGCAAAGTATCCTCGCTATAAGCTTGCATATAGATATGTTGCTAATTATGTTGTATATTTTCTTCTTATGTGTTCATTATTTTTCCTTTCCAATTTCTTTTGAAAGGAAATCTACTGGCAACTAGTATTATCAATAATATAAGAAGAGAATGATATATCTAGATGCACAATTTCCAATGACTATTGCCGAAATTAAACACTGAAAGACTTTATGATAAAAATATTGTTTTCTATATTTTAATCATTGTGATAACGAATGACGAAGTTAAACATTAAATGAGTGCATTAATTACCTCGAAAACAAATGAAGACTTGCTTCTATGTTTTCAATGCAAATCACATATTTGATTGATTCCCATACAAAACTGAATTTTCTCTTGCAATGAGATGATCTTCTACATTTTCATCATAATGCTGTTTTCTTCTAGGATCTCAAGGCCTTGCTTTCAAGAACTAAGAGTGAGTTCAAAGACTTAGAATCCCAGCTGCAGAATGATTTGAAAGAGCTTGGTATGTTACATTGTAAAAACAGCTTCAATTTTGAAAGCAGATGCTCGTCATCCATATCTGTATCTATTTAAAAAATAATAGCAGTATTCATTTATTACTTTTGTAGATATGCTATAAGTATATTTCCTAGAGTTCCATATTGTAACAATGCACAAGAGGTAAAGATGACTGGATGCTGATAATTCATAATTCAAAATGGATTCTTCCTTTTCATGCACTTCAATATTACTTCCATGTTTTAAGAAGAAAAGTTTTTTGGAAATTACAAAATGGTCATATTTTACATGGCTTCAGAAAGTCAGGTACAGGAGATGTCTACTGCTGCTCTCGGCTATCACAGGGTGTTGAATGAGAACAGGAAGTTGTACAACATGGTTCAGGATTTGAAAGGTAACAAGAACTACCCATTTGCATCCTAATATTTTTTTTTCCTGAGTATAGATGCTAAATCTATTAATCTATATTGATATTTTCTTCAGGGAATATTAGAGTTTACTGCAGAATAAGGCCTGTCTTCAGAGCTGATACTAAAAGTACAATAGAATTCATTGGAGAGGATGGTTCTCTAGTTATTTCAGACCCATCAAAGTCCCAAAAGGATGGAAAAAAGGTTTTTCAGTTTAATCATGTGTTTAGTCCCGCTGCTAGACAAGGTAAAACTTCAAACATTATATTATTATACATTTTTGCAAATAAATCTGATTACTTTTGCATTACTCTTGGTTTTCAGATGAGGTATTTAAGGACACTCAACCCTTAATTAGATCAGTAATGGATGGTTATAATGTATGCATTTTTGCATATGGTCAAACCGGATCTGGCAAAACACATACTATGGTATGATCTTTATCAAACTTAGCTTTTGCAAATCAAATTCTCTGCATTTTATATATCTTAATTGATTTTTTTTTTTTTATTGTTTGGACATCTAATGATTGAGCAATGATGTGTTTGCCTTTCAAGCAAGGCATATTTTATTTATTCTCTGATTTGCTTGCTTGCTTTATCGTGTGCACAAAAGAAAGGTTTCTGTTTTTGCGTGCACAAATAAAGGCTTTTGTTTTTGTACATATTTTTCTAGATTTTTTCATCTAATATATAACTATTATGATAGAGTGGTCCATCAGGAGGATCAACAAAGGAAATGGGGATCAATTATCTGGCTTTGAACGATCTCTTTCAGATATCTAATGAAAGGAAGGATGTGATAAATTATGACATTCGTGTTCAAATGGTCGAGATTTATAATGAACAAGTGCGGGACCTTCTTGTCGAAGATTCATCAACCACCAAATATCCTTTCGTACTTTCTATGTTACCTTCTAGAAATATTTTACTCTTTTTAAGATAATCATATTTATGATTATTAGAAGATAGGAAGTGCTGTCCCTACTGTTTTAATCATGCACAAGCAAACCTTTTGTATTCTTAACTATGCACACATTAGAGATTCGGAGTTGTGCTAGTGAAAATGGGTTGAGTCTTCCAGATGCCACAATGCATTATGTGAAGTCCCCAACTGATGTTCTTCATCTAATGAAAGTTGGAGACGTTAATCGTGCTGTTAATTCAACTGCAATCAATAACAGAAGTAGTCGTTCTCATAGGTCAGTGTTCTAAGACCCAACTTATCTACTGGTTTAGCTTCTACATTTTTCCTGGAAAATCAAAATATATGAAGCCTGTGTAGTAATGACAATAAATGTGGTAGTAGAAATATGTTCTAAAGATCAAAAGGGTGGTTTGACATGTACCTGCAGTATATTGACGGTACACGTCCATGGTAAAGATACAACCGGAAGCATTCTTCGTAGTTGCCTGCATTTGGTAGATCTTGCAGGAAGTGAAAGAGTGGACAAATCAGAAGTTACTGGTGACAGGCTCAAGGAGGCACAGTGTATCAACAAGTCTCTTTCTTGTCTGGGAGATGTAATCATGGCCTTGGCTCAGAAGAACTCCCACATTCCTTACCGTAACAGCAAACTCACTCTTCTCTTGCAAGATTCCTTAGGTAATAATATGCAAATAAATGCCCTCTTTTCCCCTAAGATCCATTATTCTCTTTGAAATGAGGTGGAAAACCAAATTGGTAAAAAGTGATTGAATGCGCATTTGTTTTATTAATAATAAAAAATATAAAGAATAAAAGAATAATAAGGAAAGCATCTTATCAAATTTTAATGCAGCGGTGATTGGATAGTGACAGGATAGAGTTGAAGAGCTCAACTTTTGAATAAAAAATGCTATATATGGTTGTACATACTAACGACACTCTCTGGAAATATTCACTTTAGGTGGACATGCTAAAACTTTAATGTTTGCTCATGTGAGTCCGGAAGGGGATTCTTTTGGGGAAACAGTCAGTACTTTGAAGTTCGCTCAGAGGGTTTCAACTGTTGAACTTGGTGCTGCACGAGCAAAAAAAGAGAGCAATGAGGTTATGCAGCTCAAAGAACAGGTACATATATCCATTTAAATTCTATTCCCTGATACTTTTACTTCTTTTCAATTTTCCTTGGTTGTCATTTATGCTAGAAATGTGGTGATTTCACGATTTTGCTTTATCAAAAGCCACCTTGTAATTAGTGAACTTTCTTCAGGGCCGGTGCTGTACCTCAGGACTTAATGTTACATTGTTGGACACACTAACAATACAACCTCCGTTTTTTTTTTTTTTAAATGAATTATCTTGGAAATTTTCTGAAAACTGTAATCTTACTGACATTGGCAAATATTTATGCCTGAAAATCTTGGTGAACAGTAGAATCTAACGAAAACCGTATGGTTGCATATGATGAAGAATAATAATACATATACAAAGTTTTCATATAAACTCACTCATATAAACTGTTGTGTTTAAATGTGATTGGATAATTTTAAATTAGAGATGAAGTTAACAAATTAGAGGAGATAATATGTCAAACATACAGGGTTGTTGTATCTGTTTGTATAATTAGTTTGTACATGTAACATTACTCTCTAATGAACTATAACATGGATAATAGTTTTTATTTATATTATTTTATTTTATTTGTGTGCATAAAGAGAATTTGTGTCTTTTAGATACAGTAATGAATTTTTTTAACAATAATCTTGCAGGTCGAAAACCTTAAGAAAGCATTGGCAAACAAGGAAGCCCAGAAACCAATAGCAGTGACTGAACGAACTCCTCCACGTACCCGAAGACTCAGCATTGAGAATGGTAGCACTGTGAAGACTCAGAAAGTGATGAAATCTGAACACAAAAAGAGAACAAAAACCCCTCCTATCGCAACTCGTGCACGGAGATTAAGTTTAGAAGGTCCAAGATATGTTTCGAAGGATAACATTCAGATCAAGTTATCTGATGGTGTGAGTGATCCCATGCCACTTGAGGCTGTGTCAATACAAAAACATAGTCAGTTTCAAGATGCAGAAGCAGTTTCAAAGTCGTACGGGCATTTCAGCAGCAATGGTAGTTCTGTAACAGATATGTGTCGAACTAGGGCAACTAGAAGTCCTACTAGTTTGTCCTATCAAAAGCGAGCAGTAAAAGCTGATAGTAGGACACGGATTCCTTCTCTTCAGCTACCAAAGACACCTGAGCCGCAATCATTTCCAAGAAATGAGGTTCAAATTTTGATGCAGAGTGAACTCACTCTTTCAACAGAATCTCGCAACAAAAATGGGAAAGGATCTCAAATAAGGAAATCCCTTCGAACAATCGGAAAATTCATTAATGGCAATGAAAAGAGGTAGGTGAAACTCATGAGTCATACTAATTCAATTATTCTGTTCCAACCGTTATTTTCAAATTCATATAATAAATTTTAGTAGCCTAATAACCTTTTCTAACAGTTGCAATGTATGTAATGGTATTGCGTGGCTATCTCACTTTCAGGAACCAACAGAACTTGACAGAAGCACGATCACCCGCCACCATGATTGCTAGCAAAACTAGCAATGGGAATTCGCCACTGACAGCTAATTCAAGGGCACACAGGAGGCAATCACTTACTGGCATTCAAACTCCAGGATCCCGGAGATCTTCTCTTGGAGGGAAACCAATTGAATCTTCTTGTAAGTACAATACTGAAAAACATCAAATGTATGTGCATTGCATGTATAAAGTCCATGATTTGAATTTCATTTTTTGCAGGTGCAAGCGACACTAGGAATGCAAAGACGCCGCCTCCAGTCCACCCATCAGGGAAGACAGCAAACCGTTGGGTGTAGATCATTTAACTCTGAGCTTAGAAGAAGTGCAGTAGCGCTTTGACTCGAAGCATACTGGCTTGCTGACAGTTTGAGTTTTAGAGCACAGTGCAACAGTGCAAGCACAGAAGAGAGAAGACTTGCTGACTGATTGAGCAACATGTTCATGTACATAGGAAGTAGAATATAGATTCAAACTGATCCATATTTCATTTGCTCAAAGAATGCTTTCTTATGCCAAATATTTCATATTCTTTTTTTAATAAAAAAAAAAAAGGCTTAGATTTGATTTGCCCCAGCCAGCAAAATTCTCTTGTCGCGACATAATAAAGTCAGCTGTAACAATGTGTGACTTGAAAAAGAGAAGTGATTGTATTACCTTTACCAGACTTTTGTAAATTAAAAATAAAAAATTTCCTAATTCAGCAAACGTGTCAAGAAAACGGCTCATCCACCAAAAGTTCATCACTTGTTACATGCCCAATGATCTTCATTCTAGTATGAAGATCGGTGAGTAACGAATAAATTAACTTAGATTGACGATGAGATTTATCACCAACAACGAATACATGAACTCTATTCCCAACTTCTATCCAGCTACAACCAGGCTGCTTCTTCAATCCCATTTCTTTCATTTTCAGCCTCACTCTCGCAGCATCTCTCCATTTCCCACTTGAAGCATATATATTAGACAGCAACAAGTAACTGCCTGCATTATTTGGCTCCGTCTCTAAAAGCTTCTTTTCAGCATGCATCCCTAAATTCAAATCCACGTGAACATTACATCCGGAAAGAAGAGCTCCCCAAACTGATCCTGATGGCTTAATTCCAAGGCGCTTGATAAAATCATAAGCCTCCTTTACTCTACCTGCCCGGCCACATAGATCAACCAAACATGTATAATGTTCTTCCCGCACTTGTATGGTTTTGTCCCTCGTCAGTTCCTCAAAGTATTTCAGGCCTTCGTCCACCAAACCAGTATGGCTGCATGCTGAGAGCAACCCTACATAAGTTACGTCATCAGGTTTAAAGCCGAGCTCTTTCATTTGATTAAACAAGTTGATTGCCTCTCTAGCACATCCATGGTGTCCATAGGCTGCAATCATACCATTCCAAGATACTAAATCCCTGCAACTCATCAACCCATCATCAAACATTTTCCTTGCTGTATGTAACTCTCCACATTTAGAATACATGTTTATGAGCGCAGATACAACAAATGTGCTACTTTGATAAACTGTCTTACTTATCATCTGATGAATTTGCTGTCCCTCACCAAGACCAGCTAAGTCACTACACGCACTCAAAACACTAACAAAAGTTCCCTCATTGGGTCTCATCCCATAATCCTCCAACATTTTTAACAAAACCTTCAATGCTTCTTCACTTTGTCCATCTTTTACATATCCTGTGATCATTGCAGTCCAAGAAACAACGTTCTTTTGAGGCATCCTATCAAACAAATCCCTTGCCCTTCCCAACTCCCCATTCTGAATAAACCCCGTGATCATCGTATTCCATGAAGGTAAATCCCTAGACGGCATCCTCTTAAATAGCTCAAAAGCCTCAACTAACCTCATATTCTGTGCATAACCAGTAACCAATGCGTTCCAGGAAACCACATTCCTCTCTGGCATCCTATCAAATACCAACCTAGCTTCATCAATCCTCCCATTCCTTGCCAACCCGGCAACCATTGTTGTCCACGAAATCACATCTCTTTTAGGCATCACATCAAACAATCCTTTCGCTTCTTCTATCCTCCCACAATTTGCCAACGCCGTAATCATAGTATTCCATGAAACTGTATTTCTATCTGACATTTTATCAAACACCGCCAAAGCCTTGTCAATCATCCCCTTTTTCGTGTATGCTTCGATCATGGTATTCCAAGAAACCACGTTCTTTATCGGCATTTCCTCGAACAACTGCTCTGCTTCAAAAATTCGATTCCGCCTGACATACCCACTCATTAGCGCAGTCCACGTAACCACATTCTTCTGAGCATCAACCCTATCAAACAACTTTCTTGCTTCTTCAATCAACCCACATTTTATGTACCCGGAAATTACTGTAGTCCAGGTAACCACATCTTTCTCAGGCATTTCATCGAACAATTTTCGTGCTTCATAAATATTGCCTTCTCTGCTTAGCCTTGTAATCAGCCAATTGGATCTTGCAATATCTGGACTAGGGCTATAATCCCTTTCTAGTGTCACTGCAGTTTTGGTTATCACTGCACTATTTATTGAATGGTAAAATAACTTGAAATTGCAGGGAGAGAAGATTGGTAATAAGATATTTTTGCCAGGATGGGATAGTTTGATTGACACTCGTGAAAACGATAACATTTCAATTGGAGAGTTTTGCAAGTCCAAATGACACTACGAATGACAAGACGCGGCCTCAGTTCATCATCGCAAATCTAAGTAAAATGATTCCCCATTGAAGAGTGTATAACTGCACAGGGAAGCTGACACTATCCCGTTAATTTGGGATCCAATTCGGGATTTTCTTTAGAAAGCATCGAGAAGGAATTGGAATGTAAGAGCATTGAAGGACTCTTTATAGGGCTTGAATTGGTGATCGAGCATCCTATGGTGTTCGAGCATCTTTTACATAAATTGTGAGTATCCTGGTTTCTAAATATAAGGAGGAAATAAATTTTAGGGGTGAGAATACGTTTTAAAAAAAAAAGAAACTTAAAAGGAGATAAATTATAAATAAAATACATAAAATCTCGTAATATGTTATTTAAAATTAAAATAAAGAGTGAAATTTAATTGTGGGGGATCAAACTTACTCTTTAATTTATATTTAAAGAATAAAAAATAAAAAATCTGTTACACTCTTATTTCTATAGATAAACTTTTTATAATAAACAGTTTAAGTCATATAAAAAGTCGATGTTTTAAAGAGTTCGTTTATAAAAATAAGAGTTCAATAAACTTTTTATTCTTTAAATATAAATTAAAGAGTGAGTTTAACTCTTTATATTTAGAGAGTCAAATTTAACTCTTTATCTTAATTTTATTTAATAAATTATAAGTTTTTATGCATTTTATTATTAATTTTCTTTCCTATTAAACATATCTCATATTTATTAAGTCTAATTTAAAGAGATTATTGGATTTGAATATAAATTTTGATTTTTATATTTAGAATTTAATAAAAATAATGTTTATTTATATAAAATATATTCTTTAAAATAAATTAGAATGTAATAATAGCTATTTATAAGATAGATACGGAAGAAGAAAGAGATCTCTATTTATTCAAATGGTGTACCTATGGGACAGAGAAAGAAGAAAAAATTGAAGATTTCAGATAGTACCTTAGATCGAAAAATCAATTCGTACCCTTGGCTCAATTTCTGATAGTAGTAATATATCAATATAAAATTTATAAACAAAAACTTGTAAAATGCCATGCTCCACGTATATTAACATAACAAGTAGCTTGAAAATGGATTCCTATTTCATTTGCTTAAGAATGCTTTCTGGCGCCAACGTTTCAAATTCTCCCTGCAAATTTCTCTACTCATGTCATGAGCCACTACCCACCACTATGTAACATCTTTAAGTCTAATAAAATTTGTCCAAAAGAAAAACAAAAACAAAATTTCCATCATATGGTTTCCCACTTCCCATATGCTCTTTTCATTTTTTTTTTTTTTTTTCTTTTACATCAATAAGTGTGATGATAGTATTCTTCTATGGCATATTACAACCAGGGAGATTCCCAATGTCTGATGGATATAGAATAAGTAGTAAACTGTAAGCTTATTTTGTTTTGAAGGCCCACCAAAAGGTGGAAGATCCTTCATCCTTCCCATACTGGAGTGTAGTATAATAATTCTTGTAACTGAACATCTTCACATGGAAAATGTCAATCTCTTGCATCCAATAATAACGATTGTAGGACCACTGGGATTTATTCGTTATGGCTAATAAAACCAGCAGAGATCAGAGAATGAGTTTAAAAAGTGCCACTCATTATATTTTAATATCTTATCCAGAGTGTGGAATAAGGATTTACCTATAAAAAGTAAAAACCAATACAATAACAATACAAACAATGAATTTAACATATAAATAATTGTTCTTCAGTAACTCATTAAACCACAATTCACAAGCACGAAATAACAGAGAATTGAGGAGATTTACTTGCATAAAATGCTAACATTGGAAACAAGGAACATCAGCTACAAAATAATTTTAAATGAGAAAACACAAACAAAAAACAATGAGAAATGGGAACCCATTTCTGAATTTTCATAACATAGTTCATCAATGATAACTCATTAACAGACACACAAAATTGCATGAAGCAAAAATCATGGGCACTTTGTAAAATATTTCATTATTTATTACATGTAAAGTCTTACAAGTTACGGAGTGTGGCTGCTTCAAACATTCCTACTATTTACCAAATGAAGACCTTTTTTTTTTATTTCCTGCTCAATGTACAAAACAAGGAATGAATTCACTAATTTTTCACAAAAAATTACAGTTTTCAATTAAATTAATTAATGATCCAGAACAAGAAAAGCTAGTAAGGACATTCGGAATCACTGTGACTGATGATGAGCACTCCGGTTGATTCTGTTGATGGAATAACCATAAGCACGAATCAACCGCTTACGAAATCTTTCGAGGTTTAATCTCACGTTTTGGCCGTCCAGATAGATTGCCTTGGTGTATTGCCAGCCCTTATTGTTTACACTCGTTGGATCTCGAAGAACAGGATCGTCTTTATCATATTTGTCATACAAAGAGCTTTCTCTGGGAAGAACGGGGTAGCTGATATAGTTCAAACCAAGTTCCCTTGCTGGTTCACCATAATATGTCTCGGCTGCCCAATCAGTTCCAAGGGGAATGACCTGAATAAACACAGAGCCAGGCTTCATGAAGAGAAAATGTGTCATGGCTGCACCATGGACTCCAACCATCACATCACTTGAGTTAAGCACCCGATAAATCTTTGCCAATTCTGTAGTCCGATCAGGCCTCACAACTTCAACTCGAAAGCCAATTTCCTCAGCCATTTTGACCAACAATTTCTCATTAGTTATCGCTCGAGACCCATTTCTAGATAAAACAACCAATTTTGGTTTCTTCAATAGATTTTCTTCCATATTTCTTATAATCTCTGATGAGGTTTTTGATGATGGAGACAAAGAAAGCTTCTCCCTTAGTTTTTCTTGAGCTTCTCGTTCCTCATCCTGAATTAATCCATGAATTCTTGGCCAGTAAGCTTGATCTAAAATATTTCTAAAATCAACTATGGTCTTGTTTCCTTGCATCAATGAAGGATCCACTTTAAGCTCATCATGGATTCTGAGACCAACAATCGCTTCGGGGAAGCAATGAGTCCTCTTGTCTCCAGTAAAATCTATTGCTGGATAATCCGAAAGATGTGAAAGAATATCACCATACTTCATAATCCACCAATTATGATATTCAAGAATGACAAATACAACCTTCTTCTTCAAATGATGAGAAGTGATATACAATGGCAAAAGTCCATCATTGAATTCATGATACACGTTCCCGGTATATCCTCCAGTCGAGAAAAACACAGCAGGAACGTCATGTTGAACATCACAGTGATGGTTAATTGCAGCACTTCCCCTCTTGGAGATAAGGTCTAATTCATCAATGGTGTCCATTACACTTGCTTCCCATTTTCGGGTATACGGTTTAATCTTTTCGTGTTGGAGTTCCTCTTCAACATCTTCTTCAACCATGCTCGAAACATAGTTGATTATGCCATTGGAGTTTCCTGAGTTGTATACAAAGACGGAAGAGGAAGCAGAGCTTGTTCGCACATCCCCTTTCATGATACATACATCAGAACGCAAACCGCTTCTGTCACAACATATAGTTCCTGAAATTAATCCCAAAACTAACAATCACAAAACGGATACTGCAAAGAGTATCTACAATAAAAAGTTAAGGCCTCTACCATATAGTTTGACTGTGGGATTAAAAAAAAAAAAACCAGAAAGGACTTTTCAGTTTTCAGTTTAAGATGTTATTTTACTTGGGCTTCTAAGAACATAATCAAATGAAAAATCCAACGTTTTCCACATCTTCTCTTTTAGAACTTCGTTCTCAGAAGCCAGATGGAACATGAGAACTTTCAATAGCCATAAAAGAAATCCTTTTTCCCCCATAAATAACTAGTCCATTAAACTTAAACTTCTAAAAGTTTACAAAAGGTAAAAAAACAGAGATGAAGAAACAAGATAGCAAGAGAATAAAGTACTAACCGTCAGAGGCAGAAGCACACAAAGGAGCATTTACATTGGGAAGAAGGCTTTCGTTATCCCCAACAAATGAATCTACAGAAACAAGTTTTTATAAAAATAAATAATTTTATTAAAAAAAAAAAAAAATCAACAACAAAAACAGAGCAAAAGAAAAGAAAACTCGAGTAGGTGAAAGGGGACTTACAGAGGAGAGAGGAAGAGCTAAAGAGATGAGGAGCCAAAATAAAGCAGCACGAAAGAAGGGAAATAAAGAGAAGAGAGAAAAGCTTAGGCCTAGCTCTCTTGTTGAAGAAACCATAGCTCGGTGCACAAACGAAAACGAAGTCACGAGACTCTTCATCGTCATCATCTTCAAGAGGCATATAATGTTTTACTACTTGTACATGTTCACCTTTCTTCAACTGATGATAACGCTGGTACCTCCCCATAATATTTTTTTCTATAAACAAAAATAAAAATCCAATCTTTCTGAGCTTTTCAAGCAAAGAAAAAGAAAAAAGAGCGGCTTTTGTTGGTGATAGCTTTGAAATAAAGAAGACGGTTCGGCTAAGTTATCGAGGAAAAGAGAGCATGTGGGTTGGCAAATGAAGAAGAGTATGTAAATGTATTTGTGGTATAACTTGAAATGAAAGAAGAAGAAAGAAATAAAAAGGAAAATGAGGAAGGTGGCTGAAAGAGTCAGGCAATGTGGTGGAGTTGTCTACTGTCAATATCAAATATGGTTGCGTGTGTGTTTAAAGAGCTGTTAAGGCTCTCCCCTGGTTGATTCTTTCTTTGCCTTCTCTTTCTAGTTACCTTCGCGTTATGTAACAATACGCTGTTCAATGCCACGCGCTTTTCAATGGCGAGTTTTGAATTAGGAGCGACTGACTGTACAGACACGGGGTGTCTCACGCCGTCATTGACTATTTATTCTTGCGAAAAACATTTATTTAATCAGACGCTGTTCGGTTGATACATTCGATGAAGGGCCTCCTCAAGGTTTTGGTTAATAACAAATGTTTTATCATAATATCCTGTCTCTTTATATTTTTATTTCTTAATTTTTTATACTATATGCAATTTTATATAA